GATACTCCCTTTTTTTATTTTTGAACAATTTTGTCGTTTCGTTCTTTGAGGTTCGGAAGTATTCCAGATTGTTTTCACTAGGATTATTTGGAGTTTTTATTTTACCTGCTTTTCTTTTTTTGCACATGTTTAAGCAATTTTAATCAAACCACGGTTTGTTATTTTTTTTTCCAAGACACAAGTTTACAGGCTTCTTTAATATTATCCCTGATTCCTACCCATAACTTATCTATATCATCACAGTCCTCTTCAGAATGTTCTAAAGCTTCAAACCTATTCTTAACTTCAAGCTCGAATTGAGTTCTAATTGATGGATTTTTTAATTTTTCCAAATTAAAATTCCCAGAATTGCAGCGGTTTTCTTTATTCATTTTTATATTAAGTTTTTGCCGAAGTTTCGCAATTACTAATTCATGGTCTGACCCACATTCTGCCCCGCGATAAGACCTTACCTTAATTATACTAGTTTGTCACTTATGTTATATCAAGATGTGATCGATTTGATTTCGTGTTTGCTAATCCAGTGATGTCCAAGTATATTTGTGAATATCCTTATGTTTAAACGTAGTACTTTTAACTATCAGATTTTTCGAGATGGCAAAATTTATTAGTCAAATTCCATTATCATTACTATATTCGTGCAAACTTTCTTTACCGATCATCGGAAAATAAACTTCTTCCCTTCCCACCTTTGCGTTAGCGTCCCCAAAACTTTTTTTTCATGCAGCTTCGCGGTAGTTTATCATATACCCACTCCAGTTTATCATAAAATTCGCATTTGTCTTCGGTCGGACAGTGTATACTATTTTTTAATTTAATTATTAAATTATCTGAAAGGGATTTGTCAACAAAAATTAACTGTTGTCTCTAATTAAATCTATGCTACTTTTTTAAGGATATTTCGTATTTCTGGAAAAAAAATAAAATATTTTTCTACTAGTAGAAAGACCAACAAAATAACTGTAGTTTCACAGTTTAACTAGTAAAATGTCTTAATGAGAATGTATCTTTGTTTAAATATTTTCAATGACAGTGGAGTAAATTGTTTTATTAAAAGAAAATGCCTGTTAGTTTTAAACATATCCAATCAATGTAAGCTATCCAAAACATTTAAATCAAATATTGCTTTATGAAAAATACATAAACACTCAGTGTTCCATCAGCAATTTTCCTTCTGTGCCTTTACAGCTCAAGTAGAGCCTTGGTCTCCTCAACATTACCTCTCCAATCCTCCCTATCAACAAAAATCTGGTGCGCTCAACATACAATTTTTACTTACCGCTCAACTTCAGAAATTATTTTCTGTCAATATTGGGTTATTATACAATTTTTGTGTGTTTGTTTGTGTGTGTGTGTGTGTGTGTGCGTGCATGTGTGTGTTGTTATTTAATCAAGTTTTTAAGAAAAAGTGGGCATTCAAATATCTTAGGAGGGAGAGGTATCCAGAATCTTTTGAAAGAGGCGGAAGGCAGCACTAACACACACGAAACGAACGCTATGGTAAGCGATAAAGCACAATTGCAATGCATTGCAACGTTTGATTTTTGAAAATCTTTAACATTGAAACGGTATCTTAAAATATTTTGAACAGCATGTGTTGCTTCTACATCCTACTGTTAGTGTGTTTTTAATAAATATATATAGTTTAACCTTTTATTTTATAATAGTAGGTATATAAAACCATGTATGTATTTGAATGCAGCTTTAAGCCAAAATTTCAAGGAAATCAGTGAAGAACTTTTTGAGATTTAAGATTTTGAACAAACGAACCTTTTTTATTTTTAAAATGACCAAACAAAGTTGAACATTAAACAATACATTAAATTTAAAAAATATTAAAGGAAGGAGATGCTCCGGGGTGGCAGTCATAAATAGGCTAAATAGTGGCAAAACTATTTTATTTAAAGCAAACGTTTCGACTCGACTTTGCAGGTCTTCTTCAGGGCTAGAACGGACAAGATACAAAAAGATAGAGAATTGTGGAAGTCACATAATATTTAGACAGAAAATTATAAACAATGTGAAAAAGCTTATTAAAATTATAAACAGTAAGTACATTAAAATATAAACAGAGTAAGCTAAGTAACAAGATCCTAAACTAAAGTAAATAGATGGTAACAACTGTTGTAGTGTAATATATAATATATGCAAATGTGAATATACTTCTACAGATCTACAGGAGAGATTGGAAGAAAAGGAAAAAGGATATAATATGAAATAGTAAACATAAAGGAATGTGGAGAAAGATAAGAAAAAAGAAAACCAAAAAATAAGTAAATAAAATTAAAAGAATAAAAATAGAGACTTACAGGTGTGTTCAGCTAGGAGTTTCACTTAGAACTAAAAGAACAGGTATTGGGGAATTTGCTGACTTGTTTAGGTAATGGGGAAAACCTAAAAAAGATATGGATGGATACAAGGGAAAAAATACTATATCTATGTTATATTAAATTATAAATATATGGATATACATATAAAATAAAATTAAGAGATTATAGATAAAAGTACAATATGAATAAAAACAAAAATGGAAGAAGTAAATCGTTCATTCAATCATTCATTATTAGCACAACAGACCCATGTAGCGGTCCTTAGCCTTAACGTAAAACATAGAAGTAAAATATAAATATAGAACTAAGAGACCATAAATTGCAGAACTAACTTAGAAGTATAGAGAGGGGAAAAAAATATGAATAACTATAATTATATTTGGTTGCACATATATAAGAAAATTACATTTAAATATTAGATAATATTGAGACATGGTTAAAAAGTAAAATTAATATAAAGTGAAAACGGATGATCATACATTGATGTAGAATGTAAATATAAAATAAAATAAAAGAGAGATAATACAAAGCGGAAGTACTTACAATAATGAACAGTTAAATAGAATTAATCAATAAAAATTGAAAGTAGATACAAATAATAAGATGTAATATTTAAGTTATTTTTATCTTAGAAGACCCACCCATATCACCAAAAAATAAATACCGCCAAAAACCTTATTCACCGATCCCTCTCATTATCTGATCCACAATACCACCAAGCCAACACTCAGCGTGTCAAAAATATACTCCTTTCCAATAATTTTCCTCTCAACACCATACTTAAACTTTTAAACTACTATACAACCAAAAAGAGTACAACCTCCCCTTCTCCCAACTCCCCACAATCACTTACTACTCCTTTCATGTACAAATCTCTCCCCTATATTTCTATTCTCTCAGATAATGTATAAAAATTCCTTAAATCGACTATAACCAACTTACATCTTGGCCTTAAGTCCCATAACAAACTTTCTTTCCTTTTGACCTACTTGAAGGATCCCATAATTCTACAACACCGATCTAATGTAGTTTATCAGATACCTTGCTCTATTCCTAATTGTAATAGCTCCTATATTGGTGACACCAAAAACCATCTCAAAACCTGCATTTCTCAACACAAAACATCCATAACTTCCCGGAACCCCTCCCCCTCCAAACTATCAGAACATGCCTTAACCCTCAGCCATTCATTTGATTTTGAAAAAACCTCTATTCTTGCCATGGTCCCTAACCATGAAAAAAGACTCAGTTCCGAATCCATCCACATTCACATGGAACAGAATCCTGTTAATCATAAAGTAGATAAAAACTGCATTTCTTTTAACATATAGACACATTTTAAATCTTATAAGTGAAAAATAATTTTGAGAAAAAAATAACCAAAGCCTTTAATACCATTAACCATTCCATTCTCTTTTCCAAATTAAAATCATTATCTTCAAGTTTATTTATTATCAGCCAATTTTTAAAATTTTGTCAACTTAATGACCACATCTAATTACGACATTTTGTCTCGTTGAGCCATTCTCAAGTCTAAAAAATTTTTTAACAATTTACAATCGTATTCAAAACATTACATATTTCAACATATAGAGGTTATTTTTGTATACCTAAATACCAATCATGTACCTATTCTTTTCACTTATGCGAATTGCATGCGTCTACTCATAATAAAATTTTTTATTCTTGTCATCTCCACCTTTAATTATTATATAACATTATTATTACTCAAATATTTCTTATTAAATGATTCAAATTACCTTATCATGTGTCACCGCCATGTCATCAGTCTCATTTCTATTCAGTGACATGTTATTCTTAAAGGAGTAGGAGAAGACTATTTTAAACATATACATTGATGTTTCCCAATATTATATGCGGACCTATTTTAAGTAAAATTACCTAATTCATTTCAAATTTTTATTTCTTCAATTGAACTCGCGTAAAATGTATTTATATTATCCACGTCTGTATGATTATTTACTGAGTTTTTTAAATTTTTAGTTATAGTTATTATTTAGTTTAGTTATTTGGGCAGACATCACAATGGTTTGAAGATAGGCTTAAACAGCACAAACAAAATTGTAATTAAAAAAACACAAAAATGAAACTAGCTACTGAACTCTCTCAACATACTATGCAAAACAAAAAAAGAATTTGATTTCAAAAATGCCCAAATCCTGCATAATCAAAGTAATACGAATAAATGTAGAATAAAGGAAGCAATATACATAACTAAAAATTTAAAAAACTCAGTAAACAATTATACAGACGTGGATAATATGAATACATTTTACGCGAGTTCAATTGAAGAAATAAAAATTTGAAATGAATTAGGTAATTTTACTTAAAATACGTCCGCATATAATATTGGGAAACGTCAATGTATATGTTTAAAATAGTCTTCTCCTACTCCTTTAAGAATAACATGTCACTGAATAGAAATAAGACTGATGACATGTCGGTGACACATGATAAGCTAATTTTAACTTATTTGAATCATTTAATAAGAAATAATTGAGTAATAATAATGATGATAAACTAAGTAATGCTTCAATATTATTATTTTGATTAAATATAAATTTTAATTCTGTACTCTGATAATTTAGTATTAGTTGTTACAGTATATTTTATGGTTGTCATTTAAGTTCGATGCTTTGATATTTTTAGGTGTTTCTGGCAGTGGGAGAAAAATTATGGAGAGAAGGCGAGGTATGCAGTTCCTCACTGGCTCGCATGAATTCATTGAAGAACTTAAGAAAAGAACTTTTAAAAGGTAAGCATTACTTAATAATTCAGAAAAATATTTATAAGATTTTAAATGATTTAGATATTTATCTTAACATTTATCTGTTTCATAAGTCATCATTAAGGCATACTCTCAGTATAAAATAGATATTGAAATAACCATTTCAGTTTTATTTTCTTAATTTTTTGTTTTTATAACCTTCAATTTATTCTAATTAAATGAAGGAAGTAAGTTTTAAACGCAATGTATATATCTTGTAGTAGGACTAGACCCTTTATCATATAGTCTAGGCAATATAAGAAATATAGGGGAAAGTTTTGTTCTAAATTTTGGTATACCTATGTTCTGAGTCCCTAGACAATTATCTGAGGTTTCCTGTTAGGGTATCGTAAGGATAGCAGAAATTGCACCCTTGAACAACTTTTCCTAAAGCACTCTTGAAGTCTTGCTATCTTCAATCTGACTCAATTAATTTTCTTTGCAGACAATTAACTGCTAGGTCAAACATTTAACACGTTACCTACCTGCCGTTACAGTCCCCGGTGTCCGATAGGTTTTTATCAGATGTAATTTACGTACGTAAGATTATTTACGTTTGTATTTATCTTTTCATCTATCTAACTTCTATACAAATATTTTTAAAAATGACCATTTTAGAGACTTCGTAAGATAGGCAAAATTCGTAACAATCCTGGCCGAAGTCGAGACAAATATCAGAACCCGGGTATCGTAACCTCAACTAACATGTTAAATTCTATTTTAATGTTAAAATTAAATGTGATAAGGGATGTCAGTTACTATACCAAATTTTTTTTTTAAGCTCTTATTAATAAGCTCATTAGTGAACATAATTCAATTAAATTTCTTCTCAATCATTAGAAAGAACTCTTAACTCAAGTTAAAATATATGTAAACCCCAAAATAACTTATTCCGGGATCTACCAAAGATTTACCCACACGATCAGTGGCAGAAGTCTTAGAAATTGAGTAGAGATGACAACCCTAATGCCAAAAACCCTTGAGTCAAACAGCTAACTGGAAGCGTTTTGCTTAGTGTTGTAAAACTGAGCCTCAAGCTTAGACTCGAACCCTAAAGGCTAAAGTTGTGAAGATGGTTCTAAAGTCTTTGGACCTTGAACCTTCAGGGCTTAAGCTGAAGGCTCACAAGGTTCGAGCCTTGATGACTTTATCTTTAAAAAAATTTAAATTATTGTAGGTTTATAAAAATTCGTAAAAAATTATATATTTTTTTCTGTTTGTAGTAACAATGAGAATACATTTCCGAAATGTAATGTGAATATATTATCTTTCTGTTGGTAATAAAAATGTGAATATATTTCCGTGACTATATTAGTCCATTAAAATTCGCACAAAAAAGGGGGTCTTACTTGCAAAAGGTCGGATAAATTCAAATTTCTTTTTTGTATTGTTGAGACTATAAAAAATTCAAGTTTCCGCCCTTGAAAGCCTTGAAAAAAAGGGGTCTTACTTGCAAAAGGTCAGATAATTCAAATTACTTTTTTATATTGTTGAGACTATAAAAATTCAAGTTTCCGCCCTTGAAAGCCTTGTGGGTTCGTTACAGTGCTCCAAAATCCATTGAAATTATAACTTTTTTTTAGTTTACACTAAATATCTCCTTTTTAAAGCGTAGATATTTAAAACATAGATAAAAAATTATTATATTCAATCTTCTGAAAGACCATGTGTAGACTGGATTATTTAATTAAAATGTCTTAATACAAAGCATAAATAAAGAATCCGAAGGTATAGTGTTAAATTTTCCTGCTGGACCAGTGCGTGGTATGGTGACAGTGGGTCTACAAACAGAAATTGTGATTATTGATTAGGTTAGTAATTGTAATCAGTTTGATGAACAGAAAAAAAAAGTCATTTCAGTCATTGAATTATAAAAAAAAAAAATCATTAAAGTCTATTATAAAAAAAAAATTGGTCAATGCAACTGATTTGAAATTGTTTTACTTAATTATTAAAAAGTTATATACACACTGAATAAATGGGATTTTTAAAAAAATTGGTGATAAATAATTAGGACTTTTTTTGTGGTGTTTATTTTCTATCTTTCAGTCCAATTTTCAGAGCAAGAGCATGGTGAATAAATATATTGCATAAGATAGTGTCGATCAATGTAGCAGTCCTGTAATGATCTCATATTGTTAAAATTAAATTAGATTACATTTATATTCAATCTCAAAGTGACGACGAATCAGCCTTTCACATCGTTTGTTGCTTTGACTGGAACTATTTGGAGAAGGACGGATGCATCTCTCCAGTAGCTATGAGTCGATCAATCCAACTAGCCTACTAAGATAAGCGGAAGCGGCAAAAATAACTTTTTAAGAATAAATGAACAGCTTAATTGGTGCACAATAGATCCTTCAAGTGTAGAGGTGCTCTAAGCCAACAAATTTATAAAGAAAGAAAGATGAAGTTTCACGGCATACACCAGATTTTCCATTTGCTCCATTTGAATCAGTGAATACCAGTTACTATAATATGTATATGTAAATTTTTGTTGTTTGTTTCAATTACAAGTTCTTATATAAAATCATTATTTGTATAGTGTGTAATTGTGACTAATTTTTGGTTTTATAACTTTTTTTTTCGTTTCCTTCGAGAATTAAAGTTTTTTTGTTGTTTCACAAATCTAAAGTTATCTTCATTTTTGTTTATTATGTTCATTTTCTTCAATTGTTAATAAATATAAGAAAGTTATTTTAATTAATTTAAGTTCCATTTGAAATAATAGAATACAGATGGTTCTCTTATTGGTTTTTGTGTATGTGTTTGAATTCAGCACTAGTTTTTTTTTTTTCTTTTTTGGCTTTAAGACTTGTAAAAGCAAGTCCTATTTTGCCAGTAAAATATTTTAATTGTTATAGTAAGACGAAATTAGGAGGCAAACAGTTATTGTCCAAAAAAAAAAAAAATGGACAACACTTGGCAGTTAGAATGCCTAAACTCATCTCTAACAGACGCAATTAAGAAATCATATTTGAGCAGTAATGATGTCAAAACCAAAATATCAAAGAGAATAGTATGCTGGTGGAGCAAGGACCTAGAGAGGCAAAGAACACTAACAAGAAGGCTGTACAATGACGCAAAAAAAAAAACAAGGCAATTGGGAGGTTTACAGGTCCGCTCTCACAGAATATCATAAATCTGTGAGGAAAGCTAAAAGGAGGAACTTCTGCCAAGAAATTGATAGTACTCCTATGGTAAGTAGGATAAAAAAAAAACTTACTAAACAGAAAGACTCAATGCCTCTTGGCAAATATGCTTCAGTATTTCAATCTGAAATACTACCAATTTGCCATTATACTCAAAACCTTCTGCGAAACAATATGACTGGGAAAAAGATTACAATCTATACTGACAGTCAGGCAGCAATAGGTGCTCTAAACAATTATTATGTGTACTCAAATGTTGTTAAGGAATGCAGCATAGCACTTAACAAACTGACTAAGCTTAATAGAGTTGCAGTAGAGTGGGTGGGTGCCTGGCCACTCGGGCATACTAGGCAACGAAGAAGCAAACTAGCCAGGTTAGGCTGAGATACTATTCGCATAACATCTGAACCTGTTTGTGGAATTAGCCTTAGTAGTGCCAAAAGTAGGATTAGGGAGATTTATGGGAACATATTTAAACAATACTGGACTGAGAAGAAACAACAACATTCGAGGCTGTTCCTGTTCCAAGGTCCATGTGATAAAGGAAGCAAACTGCTACTGAGTATGGGCAGAGCAGCTCTTAAAAAGCTCACAGTGATCTACACAGGCAACTGTAAGTTATACTACCACATGTTCAATCTCTGAGTGACGGCGAACCCGCTATGCAAATTCTGTCAGGAGGAGAATGAAACAGCCTTTCACATCGTTTGTCGATGTGATAGATTTGCAAGGCATAGACTGGAGCTATTTGGGGAGGATTGGTTGGATCACCCTTGTAGCTATAGTGGGGTGCCGGGTTTGTGGATTTTAGGAAGTCCATAAAAACGGGGTGCAACTGAATTGTAGGAGATAAGATTTGTTGAATAATATTTCCAAAGAATATTGGGGCTATTGTTTTCTATACAGTAAAATGTTTGAAGTAATCTGAAATCAAACTGCATAAAAATACAAATGATTAAAAAAGGAATCAATTAGGGTTCAAAGGCCAGACCCAAAATGAAATTTAGAACATTTGAACCTCCTAGATAGAATTTTCTCTTTAAACTGCGTTTTAGGTAAAGAAATACAATATTTTCTTGAAACTAGCATTAAAGCCCAAAAAATCTGTTAGTAAAACAATTATAAGGACCGCAAACTCAATATATTATTAAAAATTTGTCCAAGGACAAATTCAATAATATTAAATTGATTAATATCTTAAGATGAAACATAGACTCACTAGCTTTCACTAGTTGATTTTACTGTTCAATAGCTTCTTTTTTTCTTTTCTTTTTATTCTGATTATTACCTGAAGTGTGTTAACCCTAGATTGATAAATAATTAAAACAAAAAAATTACTTACTTTTGACTTGATGGATTTTATGCTATTTTGGAAAACAGGAGATTTTTGTCCTGATTTCTTTTCTGGCAGTACGTTGCACTAAGTGCATTCACACAACTCAAGACCAAAATCTCACTATAACCTTCTTTTTATGTTCATAAAATTAGCACCAGTTTTAGACCATAGCAGCCAATATGAATCACACAAATCTTAAATAAGTTTCTCAACTTAAACACATTTAAGACATTTTTAATACTTAGTACAGGTTGCATAAATATCACTTAATATATAAGTACTTGGTTAAGTTTAACTTGGAACTGGTTCCAGCACTGAGGATAGGTTGTTGATACTGACTCTAGTATCAACAATAATGAAGCTCTCAATTAGTCTCATGTTTTAATTATTGTAGGCTTAAAGTACCAATCGGTTTGAAAACATATTTCCCATTTAATTTTAATTTGTTAATTCTATTTTCCCTTGCTTATATATGAAAAATATAGTAAGAGACAGTATTGCGATCGTAAAAATTTTCGACTGGGAGTTTTAAACGGAAATACATGTTTTGAGGTCTCCTGAGTCCAAATAACCAAGTCCTGCAAAATGGTCTGTGTGTTTGTGCGTGTTAAAAGTCTAGTTCAAAAATGAAAAGTCTTACGAAAGTGAAATTGAATATTTAAGGTTTTTATGTGCCTGAGATGTCACAGCAACATTTTCGTCAAAATTGGCTTACCAGAAGTTGCACTTAATATAATCGATTTAGCACTTTTTTACAATTTTCTTAAAAACGGCTCTAACAATTTTTATTATATCAGTGTAAAATTAAGCAGTTTTTAATATAATGCAGGTTTTATTCTTATTGATGTTATCTATCAGGGTTTAAATGGCTAATTTCCAATATTGGCTTCCTCTAAAGTACCTTTCTTTGTTTTATTTGAATTAATTAACCATTTCACATTAATCTTTGATATAAAAATTAGTTAAATATAAACTATGAAAGAATTTGATAATTAACTAAAGGAGAAATAAGAGATCGTAACAGATAATAATTGTAATAGAGGAATCAAAGGAATACGAGCTTGCCCGAAAGATTACAACAGGCTTCTATACATAACATTATTGTTAGATTGACCGACTCATAGCTACAAGGGTGATCCAACCAATCCTCCCCAAATAGCTCCAGTCTATGCCTTGCAAATCTTTCACATCGACAAACGATGTGAAAGGCTGTTTCATTCTCCTCCTGACAGAATTTGCATAGCGGGTTCGCCGTCACTCAGAGATTGAACATGTGGTAGTATAACTTACAGTTGCCTGTGTAGATCACTGTGAGCTTTTTAAGAGCTGCTCTGCCCATACTCAGTAGCAGTTTGCTTCCTTTATCACATGGACCTTGGAACAGGAACAGCCTCGAATGTTGTTGTTTCTTCTCAGTCCAGTATTGTTTAAATATGTTCCCATAAATCTCCCTAATCCTACTTTTGGCACTACTAAGGCTAATTCCACAAACAGGTTCAGATGTTATGCGAATAGTATCTCAGCCTAACCTGGCTAGTTTGCTTCTTCGTTGCCTAGTATGCCCGAGTGGCCAGGCACCCACCCACTCTACTGCAACTCTATTAAGCTTAGTCAGTTTGTTAAGTGCTATGCTGCATTCCTTAACAACATTTGAGTACACATAATAATTGTTTAGAGCACCTATTGCTGCCTGACTGTCAGTATAGATTGTAATCTTTTTCCCAGTCATATTGTTTCGCAGAAGGTTTTGAGTATAATGGCAAATTGGTAGTATTTCAGATTGAAATACTGAAGCATATTTGCCAAGAGGCATTGAGTCTTTCTGTTTAGTAAGTTTTTTTTTTATCCTACTTACCATAGGAGTACTATCAATTTCTTGGCAGAAGTTCCTCCAAGACCGTCTTTTAGCTTTCCTCACAGATTTATGATATTCTGTGAGAGCGGACCTGTAAACCTCCCAATTGCCTTGTTTTTTTTTTTGCGTCATTGTACAGCCTTCTTGTTAGTGTTCTTTGCCTCTCTAGGTTCTTGCTCCACCAGCATACTATTCTCTTTGATATTTTGGTTTTGACATCATTACTGCTCAAATATGATTTCTTAATTGCGTCTGTTAGAGATGAGTTTAGGCATTCTAACTGCCAAGTGTTGTCCATTTTTTTTTTTTTTGGACAATAACTGTTTGCCTCCTAATTTCGTCTTACTAATATTGCCAATTAAAATATTATAATATTAACATATACAACAAAAATAATATTAACAATTAAAATATTTTACTGGCAAAATAGGACTTGCTTTTACAAGTCTTAAAGTCAAAAAAGAAAAAAAAAAAAATTAGTTCTGAATTCAAACACATACACAAAAACCAATAAGAGAACCATCTGTATTCTATTATTTCAAATGGAACTTAAATTAATTAAAATAACTTTCTTATATTTATTAACAATTGAAGAAAATGAACATAATAAACAAAAATGAAGATAACTTTAGATTTGTGAAACAACAAAAAAACTTTAATTCTCGAAGGAAACGAAAAAAAAAGTTATAAAACCAAAAATTAGTCACAATTACACACTATACAAATAATGATTTTATATAAGAACTTGTAATTGAAACAAACAACAAAAATTTACATATACATATTATAGTAACTGGTATTCACTGATTCAAATGGAGCAAATGGAAAATCTGGCGTATGCCGTGAAACTTCGTCTTTCTTTCTTTATAAATTTGTTGGCTTAGAGCACCTCTACACTTGAAGGATCTATTGTGCACCAATTAAGCTGTTCATTTATTCTTAAAAAGTTATTTTTGCCGCTTCCGCTTATCTTAGTAGGCTAGTTGGATTGACCGACTCATAGCTACTGGGGAGGTGCATCCGTCCCTCTCCAAATAGTTCCAGTCAAAGCAACAAACGATGTGAAAGGCTGATTCGTCGTCACTCTGAGATTGAACATGTGGTAGTTTAACTTACAGTGGCCTGTGTAGATAGCTGTGAGCTGTTTTTTTTTTTAGCTGCTATGCCCATACTCAGTAGCAGTTTGCTTCTTTTGCTTTTTTCACATTGACCTTTAAGGAATAGCTTAGAATGTCGTTGATCTCCCTAATCCTACTTTTTGCAGTACTAAGACTGATTCCACAAACAGGTTCAGGAGTTATGGGTATAGTATCTGAGTTTAATCTGGCTAGTTTGTCTGCCTCTTTGTTGCTTAGTATGCCCGAGTGACCAGGCACCCACTCCACTGCAACTCTAATGCGTTCAGTCAGTTTGTTAAGTGCTGTGCTGCATTCCTTAACAACCTTTGAATATACATAATAATTGTTTAGAGCACCTATTGCTGCCTGACTGTCGGTATAGATTGTAATCTTTTTCCGAGTCACATTGTTTCGCAATAGGTTTTGAGCATAATGGCAAATTGCTACTATCTCAAATTGAAATACTGAAGCATATTTGCCAAGAGGCATTGAGTCTCTTTCTTTGTTATCTTTACGATAGTTGCCAGCTCCTGAGCCATAGGCTGTTAGAGAGCCATCTGTATAAAAATTAATACCACTTTTTGGTTTGTATTGTCTGCTGATGTCTATCTCAACCCCATATTTGCAGTTCAGATATTCATGGATTAGTGTGTCAGAGCGCATGGCGAGCACTTTGTCAGGTCTAATCCTTTTCAGCAGTACTGTGTGTGTCCCTTGACAGGGGATTATGGAGCAGCTCTTTAGCTTGCTTAGCCTGTATAATGTATTTGTTGCTCGAGCCTCCTCCTCCAGCCGCAACGGTGGCATGTTCAACAATATCTCCATAGCAGCCGTCGGTGTAGAGCCCATTGCACCCGTTATCATCATACATGCTAGTCTTTGGATTTTTCCTAATAAGGATGAATGAACTGCAATCTTTGTTTTATGCCACCAAAGCAAAGCTGAGTATAATATAACCTACCAAATAATCAACAACCATCGTCCTTCTTACGCCTACAACCTTCTCTAGTTCAAATCCTCATAACCTACCAAATCATCAACAACCATCGTCCTTCTTACGCCTACAACCTTCTCTAGTTCAAATCCTCAGTCCATTCCCTGTCCACAAGAACTCGACCTTCTAACCTTTATATGCCTTCTCACAGATCTGCTTCATTCCAAAATTCCTTTATTGTTCGCTCTGTCAATTTCTGGAATTCCCTCCCTATCAAAATTCGACATTCCCCATCCATATCCACATTCAAAACCCTCCTATTCCAATTCCTATCCCAAAAACAGTCAGATAGTTGCTAACCATTCAAGCTCATTTTAATAGAGAATTTGATATATTTTTATTTTTTAATTCTTTATTATTTTCTTAAGAGTGTATGCTGGTCTATCAGTGCAAATAGCTTTAAGTGTCTTGTCATTGTATTAATTGTTTTGTATATAGTTTCGTTTGTTTTGTATACAGAATGTTTACCTTATATTTTCTTTACATTATTTCTTTTTTTCGATTGATTTTATTTTGGCCAGATGTAATCTTTTTATTTTTTTCTATTTTGTTATTCTCAAGGGACTGTGTCCCAGAATAAAATTATTTTTCTATTCTATTCTATTCTAACATTTTGGGAAGTGTGCTTTAGCTACAACACTCAACATTTCAATTTCATTTGTTGTAAATTTTTCTTTGTGTTAGAGTGTTCCCATCGTACCTAAATTGGTTTGTTTTAACACTATTTTATTTATTCGACATACCGCCGGAATATTATCTACCTCCAGACAAAACCTTTCCCAGGCTTGTCTTTTGGCTCTCCTGACAGATTTGTGATATGTTTTATCCTCCTTCTTGACTCTGTCAAATGGCTTTTTCTAGATCCACAAAGCAGACAAGAAGCTCTTTCTCTTTCTTGATGGACTTCTGTGTGACCTGCCTCAAAATAAAAATCAGGTCCTGTCTACTCCTCGGGTTTCTGAATCTGTATTGCTTCTTTTCAATCTGCCAATAGACTACTCTTCTTATCCTTGCTTCTAGGATTCTCGAATAGAGATTAGTTGGCACACTGAGAAGAAATATTCTCAATGATTATTACATTCTCTGCTATCTCCTTCCTTGTAAATAGGTACAACCACAATGATTGCTTAGTCCTTCAGTATTTTAATTTTCAGTCTTAATGAGGACTTGTTTGCTTGGGTTGATACATGAGCAAGCCTGATAATACAATATAAAGAGTGCAAATCCGCACTTTCTTTTTATTTAATCGTTTGAATATTTTTCATTGACATCTGTTAATATATTGCTCATTCACATGCTCTTTCCCAAATATTTAATCTCCTAGAAAACGATAGCTAAGGGAGGGGAGGGGATCAGTCATAATGTAGCAATTAATTGAGATATTTTATAGGAGACTAATTTTTTACGACTAATTTCCTTTGCTGCTGTGTTGATCTAATTTGATTAATTTGCAGTGGTGAATCTATACTTCAGCAAGTGAAAAATGAAGATTTCACCTTTAATTATATGATTGAAAATGGGTTTAATAATCCAATCTTATTTAAAAAACCTGAGGGTTTAAATTTGAAGACACCAAAGTTTACTGATTGGACAAGCCTGGAACATTATGTTGGTAAGTATATATCTGTAGTTTAAATGTTATGATTAAGACTTTTCATATGACTTACGTTTAATAGATAAGAATATAAATTTATTAAGTTTCACTCTTTAATCATGTTAACAAATATTTATAAAACTTTTTTATTTGGCTCACGCTTATTAAAAATAATATTCAGTTGGAGAGAACATTTAGTTAATTGTTTGTTTAAAGCCATAATCGGTATTCAAAAGCTTCAGGTAATAAAAGTGCAGCACCTCTAAATAAATTTGCTGTTCGTAATTCCAGTATATCTGGGGTTGTAAAATGGGAAGACTTTTTTTCTTTACAATTTCACAGCTGTGTGGTTGTCATTGACTATCTGTAACTGACTGTGATGTAGTATGTGGGGATGGCCAGTTCCAATGGAATGAGATCTATGATCGCAATGTGAATGGTTTTAGATTTTGTTCCATTAAGTTTAAGTTTCATTCTAGCTGCTGTCTGCTCTTATTATGATGATGTCTTTTATGGATTAATGGGGGTTCATCTGATGCTATTTTTAGTTTTAATTTCTATTCCTTTGACTAACTATTGTATTTTTAAAAACTCAGAAGGGGTCATTGTTTTTTCGTAAACAAATAATTTACTCCATTTCGTGTCTTCAGTAAGTTCAAATTGTTTGAATATTGTACTCATACAAGGGTGAATCAACATATGATCATATGGTGTCATAGTGCATGCATAGATTATATTTTTCTCTCTTCGTTTTTGCTTTTTAAGAAGTAAATATTAACAGTTTTCCTCGAACAGTGGTAGTGTTAACATCGCGGTTTATCTGTTTGAAGTGGCGGTATCCTTTTAGTGCGAGGATAATAGGCCGTTGTGGACAGGCCCAACTTCTCAGAAGCCTGCGGTTAACTACATTCAGGCCAGATTTATCTATTTTATTTTCTCTTTAATTTATATTATTTTCATATTACTTAAAATTATCAACTAATATCACACCTATTTGTGATCATGGGGGAAAGTAGCGTGGGAACTGAGCCCCCCCTGATAAACCATTAAACTCACCGATAGTACATAATGGAAAAAATCAACATAAATACTTGCAGAACTTTAAAGGCCCCTTCATTGTTTTAGTTGAAAAATCGACTGATGAAAACATAGCATGCTTTCATGATATGAAAATTGGAAAAACTCTAGGCTTAAATAACTCTCACGTTTTTTCTATTAAAAAGAAAAATAAACAACAAATTGAAGTTATTTTTAAAACTTATGAATATGCCAACCGATTTTTAGAAAATCAATTTCTTGAATCTAATAAACTAAAATCATTTATACCGAACTCATACGTTTTAAAATACGGAATAATTAGAGACGTACACCCATCTCTATCTGAAGAAGAAATTCTGAGTGAAATTCAATCAACCGAAAAAATAGTCAAAATTCGCCGTTTCAATAGAAAAATTAAAAATTCCGACGGTACTGTAACTACTATAGCTACGGGCACCATCCAAATTGTTTTTCACGCTCAGCGACTCCCTGACAGCATTGCCCTTAATTTAGCCCCAAGAAAAGTTTACCCATATATTTTTAAGCCCCTCCTTTGTGAACAATGTTTAAGATATGGTCACACCAAAGAAAAATGCAGAGGAAAAGGAAGATGTATGAAATGTGGCTCTAATGAACATACCGCAGAGGCCTGTGTGAACGCGATCAAATGCATACATTGCAAAAACGCTCACCTTCCAACAGATAAGGAATGCCCAGAAGCAATTCGACAAAGGAAAATAAAGGAGGCTATGGCCGTCAAACCGCTTAGCTACAAGGAAGCGAATAATTTATTTCCGGTTTCCATTTACAATAAATTTTCCGCACTAGATTTTCCTCAATTATCGTTAAATAATGATTCTGCCGAAAATAATTTTTACCATTATAATACTGCCATTACAAGAAACCCAGGAAAAAAACAATTTTTAAAATACAATCCAGACAATTTGAAATGTCAGAGGCTGAACGACAACCCAATAGATTTTCAAAACACGAACTCTGTGGAACCTCCACATAAAACACCAACAATAACCTCTCCTCTAATCACAGATAACCCCCATCGAGTTAGCGCTGACTCTAAATATATTGATATGTTAAATTCATTAATAAATAAAATTAAAGCAATTGACAATGAACAGGAAACATTGAATATAATAGGACAAACTTTTTACAATTTCGTCCAGGAAAACAATTCGATAATAAAATCAATTACAGAGTTACAAACAACTGCTGACATGTCTGTTGAATAAGCACCAAACCAAGCCCCTTGGATAATCCAGCTTATTTTATCTATAATCTAACAAATAAATATAAATATTTACACAATTATATTCCAATCATGGTTGTTAAACATGTATATCAATACTTCAGTTTTTTCCTATCACTACAGGTGATACAATTTACATTGAACTCAATGATAATTTTACAAGATTTTAAAAATGCTATATTTGTAAATTATGTTAATATCTTCAGACTGACACGTCCTGTCATGCGTCATGCGTCAAAGACGTGTTGGTGGAACACTATTAACCCTAAAAATTATGTTTTCTTCTCATTAATTCATATTTACTTTATTTTTTTAGTTGGTTTTTCCCATCATTTCGACATGAATACTCCCACCGTACAGAAATACACGATTTCACTCAAGCCCGTGTACAATATACAGCGTGATATTGTTTCTGCGATACTCATTCCTGCAATGATTTCAATAGCTCGACAAATAATAAAAAAAAGACGGCCTGCTATCTCTTAACTTAACTCCTTATAATGTCAAACAGTAGAATTAATATGATAGATAAAAACATAAAAATTCTTCAACATAATTGTCGAAGTATAAATAATAAATTCTCAGAAATTATTAATTTTCTTAACATAAACAACATCCATATAGCTCTACTACAGGAAACATGGTTTGATAATAAACGGACTTACCGTGCACAGAATTACAACATAGTAAAAAGAAATAGACGAGACAGGTACGGAGGAGTGGGCATCTTTCTCCATACTTCTTTACTTTATGAAATCATAGACTTACCAAATCTGGGAACAATTGAGGCAGTAGGGGTAAAACTTCTTAACACAATACCTTCCATCATCATAGTTTCAGTATATATCCCACCAGACAACAGAAGGCGGCCATCACTTCGAAACCTTGAAAATCTTTTTGACCTGCACGTCAATTTTCCAAATTGCAGTGTGCTCTTGGGAGGAGATTTTAACACGCACTCCTCATTTTTTGGTGCTCAAGAATATGATACTCCCAGAGGAGATGACTTAATTCTGGCTTTACAAAACAGTCCGCTAATCCTATTAAATGAAACAGGAATAATCACTAGATTAGGTAACTCTCTATCAAGACCTTCCGTTATAGATCTAACATTTGTTACAGCCGATCTCTATCATAACCTCACCTGGGTTGTAAGTCCAGAAACGCTAGGGAGTGACCACTTACAAATAATAATCGAAGTAAACAACTGCAGAATCAAGAGGCAACACAAATTCAATTCTAAAAGAAATTTCAAAAGATTAAATGAAAAAATATTTACAGATTACCTCCTGGAAATGGAGAAACCTAATATAAAATACAATATATCAGACTTGACTAACATTATTAACCAAGCAGGAGAATCAGCTATTCCTCGGAAGTGTTCGGAATACCGTCCAAAATTTATCCCGAAGTGCTGGTGGAATGAAGACATTCGCAAGTCGTATGGGGAAAAGAAGATAGCAATAAAAGAATACTTAAAGAATATGACAATAGAAAACTACAAAATCATGAGAACGAAAATAAATAAGACTAAATCACTTATCAAAAAGGCCAAAAGCGAGACTTGGAGAAACTACATCGAAAGCATCAACCCAAAACAAACCGGCTCTATGTGGAACAAAATTAAAACCTTACGTGGTAAGCGAATTTACATGCAAAATATGGTGTTAAGTAACCGAACACATGCAATAGGCTTTCTCGAACAATTGTCGAACATCTTTGTGCCCAGACAACCATTGCTTAGCGGTTCTAATGTACATATTGTCCACCATTTAGATTCACCCTTCCAATTAACAGAGCTGGAAGCGGCATTGAAAGGGAAATTTGGATCCGCCCCCGGTGTGGATGAAATCAATTACCAAATGATCAAACTCTTACCGGCTTCGATGAAACAGAGATTGCTTTCTGCTTATAATCAAATTTGGGAGGATGCCAAGGTTCCTCCGGACTGGCGAAATATACTCATATTCCCAATATTAAAGCCTGGTAAAGATGCACTTCAGATCACTTCATACCGCCCTATTGCTCTCATCTCATGCTTAGCAAAAGTTTTCAACAAAATTGTCAAAACGAGATTAGAATGGTTTATAGAATCAACAAATATCTTGAGTCCTCTCTGTTTTGGTTTTAGGAAAAACAGGTCAACCACTGATGCAATCTTGATTCTAATCAATGATATCTACAAAGCTTTCAGAGAAAGAAAGATCCTTGTGGCATTAACCATTGATATTGATAAAGCATATGACCATGTAAAAATACAAATCTTGCTATCTAAATTAAAAAATCTGCACATCCCTACGAAACTAACTCACTGGATAATAAATTACTTAACTCATCGAACATATTTTCTGGACACTTGGGAAGGTCGAGTATCTTATGAAACCTACAGTGGTCTCCCTCAAGGAGATACTTTGAGTCCAACCCTCTTCAATCTTTACACGGAACATATCACCAACAATACAATTGACAAGTGTAAAATCATTCAGTTTGCAGATGACTTTTTAATTTATACTGTAGCGAAATCTGCAGAAGAAGGGAAAGACATAATCAGCTCAGCATTGGACAACCTAACACAAGCATTTTCAATAATAGACCTAAAAATTAATCCTAACAAATGCAGCATTACTCCTTTTACTAGAAAAAGAACAATTAACTTCAAAGATTTTGAGATTTCAAATGAAAAATACACAGTTAAAAGCGAAGAACACTTGAAGTT